ACCCTCCCTGTCTTCACATGGTCAAGGCTTTGATGGCCATTTCCCGGGCACCTGTCTCCGTCCTCGGCTCGTCTAGAGTTCAGGGTTTAGGGTTCAAAGGGGTTTAGGGTTTAGGGTTTTGGGTTTTGGGCTTAGGGTTTAGGGTTTAGGGTTTAGAGTTCAGGGTTTAGGGTTCAAAGGGGCCTTAATCATCACCCTAACCCTCCAGGTACCTGCTATAAAGGGGTCTAGGGGCTCTAGTACCCTCTGTAGTAGGTACCTGGGGTTAGAATAGGGTTTTGAGGTCCTTTTTTATAGTAGACTTATAATAAGGAGCCCCCAAAGTGATTTAGGTAGATATTGAGGCCCCTATACAAGCTTAGGGTTCGAGGTTCAGATCTTATTGAGTTGAGAGTTCAGGGTTTGGGTCTACGGCTTAGGGTTTATAGGGTTTAGGGTTTGGGGCTTACAGCTTGCGCAAGTCTCTACTATGATGGTGGTGAAGGTGTCGCATCCTGTTAGCGGGGGTGGGGCCACTACACTTTACGAATAGGATCTTGTCGCACTCAGTAAGACAAACTCAGAAGACAATTCTAGGGCGCTGAAGCCCAAGAGGTTGTACCACCAAACCCCCTAAACCCCAAACCTCAAACCGAACGTCCTACTAGTAATGATCACTCATCAAGACGAAGCTGGGGTGGCAAAGACCCGACACCTTTTCGGACCCGCCATGTAAACTTATCAGGACTCGCCTCTGCACCGAAAGGCTTCATTGAAGGTGCGTGGCATGAAGGGACTGTTGGCTGTCCGGTGTCTAGTTTGGGAGCTTAGGGCTGGAGGGGCTCAGGGCTTTAGGGGCTTTTCGGATTTAGGGTTTAGGGGTTGAGGCGTTCAGGGCTTAGGTGCTTAGAGCTTCGATGATTTTGTTGTTGGGCTGCTGCGGTTTTCCTCACAGAATGCTCCTAAGTCGGGAAATCCTAAGCCCTACCCGGACCCTGAAGAACCTCCCTTTTTAGGGTTCCTCACTATGATCTCCTTACATAAGTCCTTAAAAAGCTAGGCTCTTTGGGGTCGAGGTAACCTAAACCCTAAACCCTAAACCCTAAATCTTAAACCCTAAACCCTAAACCCTAAGCCCTAAACCCTAAGTCAGGGTGTAGGGTCGGGACATCGAGGCAGAAGGCCGCGCGCCACACGCCGTTGGGAGCTTGGGAGGCTTTGGGTTTAGGGTTTAGGGCCTGCAATGTAGGGGCCTTGATAATCAAAATAGGGTTTTGGTGTATATTATACTATAAATATCAGAAGGACCCCCAAGAGAGTATAGGTAATTAAGGCCTCGCTAAATTACTCCCTTGTGGGCGCACAAAATCCACGTCCTTGAGCTCTTAGGAGGATCACGGTTTAGGTTGTAGGGCCTGTAACCGTCTAGAGCTTTGGGCTTTGAGGCTTTGTCGGCTTCATATAGGGTTTTGGGTCCCTTAAGGACGAAATGACACCTATATAGAAGGGATTAGGGTTCATCTACCATATATAGGGATTCATAGTATAAGGGTATAGGGCCCCTATCTTTTCAGGGTCTTTTTGTCCTTAAGGTCTGCCGGTTGTTTAGGGTTTGCAGGGTTTTAGGAGGGGGTTCTAAGAAGAAGGAGGATGAAGTGCCGAATAGTCCAACTGCACATCCAAACCTCCCCTAAACCCAAAACCCAAAACCCTATAAACCCTATAAACCCTATAAACCCTAAACCCCAAACCCTATAAACCCCAAACCCTAAACCCCAAACCCTATAAACCCTAAACCCTAAACCCAAAGACCCAAACCC